AACTACAACTTTGAATGTGATTGGCTCATTGAACTGTCCAATAACAAACCGTCTGGTAACAAACTGTTCCATAACAAACTGTTCGATAACAACTTGGCAATGACTAGTGGGAAACAGGAGTTTTTTAAACCAAGCGCAATCAAGGAAATTGTAATTCTTATGATTTAATGTTAATAATACAAATAACCTTTGACAGAAAACTAACAAGTGACATAAAATAGAAATAAACCTGAATAGGTTAAAAAAAAAAAAAACTGAGCGATAAAGAAAGGAAAAGAAAACAATTAAAATTAAAATTCAATAACAGTAAAAGAAAATAAAACTCACAATGAACATAAAATAGAAACAAAATAAAAAAAGACGTAAAAGTAAAATAAAAGTAAAATAAAAGTAAAATAAAGTACAATAAAGTAAAAATGACATTGAAAATCAAATCACAACATTTGATTTTCAATTTTTCTTTTTTGGTTTTGCTATGAGAACAATAGGCCATCAAATCACAATGTTTGGTTTTCAATTTTGTTTTGAGTTTGTCATGTGGCCGTCATGTGGCCCAGTGTTCTCAAAACAGTCATGTACATTGTAAAAAGTGAAACAAATTGGATCATTGATGATGTGGCCCAGTGTTCCCATAGCAAACCTCATGCTTTTATAGGAGTTACGTAAGATGTACTGCTATAGGCCCTTTGTAGCTAGGCCATCACATGACTTACTTTTCATAAGAGTATGGGCTAATTTAACTTAAAGAACACCAGAAATGGAAAAACCATGCCAAAAATATCAAAATGGCGAAGTTTGAGGCCCCTGGCATTAAAGAATGAGATTTAATGACGGTTTGAATTTTAAAAGAAATAAGATTTGTATGGAAAACGTTCTTGGAGAGCACGACCTTGCTCTCCAGTAACATAATTCCTCCTTTTATATCCTCTAAATTTTCCCAAAATTTGATCTGTTGTATAACCTTACTCTTTAATGCCAGGGGCCTCAAACTTGGCCATTTTGATATTTTCAGCATGGTTTTTCCATTTCTGGCATTCTTTAAGTGATTAAGCCCATAATATAATTTTTTTAGCAAATATTTTTTCACAGAAAGTAGTTTTTGACCCCAGCGGCAAAGGGCCTAATATACAACTAACGTCCTGCTAGATTGGTCCCACACTGCAGCCCATTGTTCTCGTGGCCTAAGCTACATACCTGGCAGTGGATTCATGGTCTTACTGCATGATTGCGATTGTGTTCAAGAGGGAGAGTTCCTAATGACATCCTCTGATGGCAATCAGGTAGCAATGGCGGCAGTGTGAGGTGGGCTTATCCGGTGGAATACACCACAAGAGAAAGACTCATGCCATCCTCGTGGCCTACATGTAATTTTCGAAGTAAATGTTCAAATCTTCATTTTAATGAATTGTTGTGGACCTGTATTTCTTAGTCAGGGAACTTAATACAAGGCATCCCCGTCGAGTGCCATTGACTAAGTCCAGCAAAAGAACATGCAGTTTGGGTGTGGCCATTTTGAAATACCCTGAGCTTCATTTCCTGGTCTTACAAGTTACATATGTTTAGAATGCTTTTTTATGTTTAGAATGCTTAGAGAAGACAGTGTCACGAGCTGTGCATGTGCAAAATTGCTTTTCCCAGATAAGCTTAAAATTCTTTTTTACAGGACATATCTAACTGCCCTTTGTCCTTTTAGAGCTAAGAGAAAGTAGATTTCTCAAAACTAAATTATTTTGAGGTCAGTTTGCATTGAATAATCTTTAACTCCTTCCATGTTTCCGGCCCTGTCGGGTCGCAGTGTCATCAAGACAACTACTAATTGTTTCATGAAAGTATTTTTTCTCTAGCATATCGACAGAATACCGTATATCTTGGCAAATACTGTTACTAGCAGCTATGTTTATAGTATAGATTCTACAGTACATTAAATGATTTAATGCTCATGGTGTGTGAATAGCTCACAAATCTTGCCGTATTACACTCTACTTACTGCCGATTTGCCACATGATCCACGCATCTTTCAAATTCTCAGTGCTAACCATCTCATGTAAATAATTTTTTTTCTCTTATAAATCTGCCACAGATTTCTAACTTTTATATGCCATTTGAAAGCTAACTGAACCTGGATTCCAGAGAATGTAAAGATTTAAAGGTGTAGATGCGTTAAATAGCCTAAAAACTCATGCTGACTACTTCACTCTAGTTACTGTCGCAAACACAGCACGATCCACGCACCTTTCAAATTCACAATGCTAACAGTCTCATGTAAATAGATTTTTTTCTTCAATAATTCTCTACAGATTTCTAAGTTTTATATGCCATGCCAAAGCTAACTCAGAATGCAGATTTTGGAGAACACAACGATTTAAAGGTCAAAATGCATTAAATAGCCTAATATTAAAAATCATGCAGTAGTTGTCGAAGTTCGTAGTTGTCGAATTGCATTACGAGCTATGTCTTTCACCTTCACAGAGCTAACCATGTCCTGTAAATGAATTTTTTTCTTATATAAATCAGCACAGATTTCTAAGTTTTATATGCCACATCAAAGTTAACTCAATGCAGATTCCGGAGAACGTAACGATTTAAAAGTCAAGATGCATTAAATAGCATAAAAATCATGCCGTATTTCACTCTAGGTACTGTCGAATTGCAACACAATCATGTCTCTTTCAACTTCACAATGCTTACCGTGTCATGCAAATATTTTTTTCTCTGGTACATCTCGATGGATTTCTAAATTTACTACACCAATTGAAAACTAAGTGAATGCAGATTTGGCACTACTTTAAGATGTTAAGGCCACAATGCGATAACGAGCCAAAAAATCATGCCGTATTTCACTGAGATAACCGTCAAATTGGCTGTTAACCATCTCATGCATCATTTTTCAATTGTCTTCTCTAGCATATCTCCACAATATTCTTCATTTAATGCATCACTAAAAGCTAAGTGAATACAGATTCTTGAGACAATTATGACAAGGAGGTCAAGATTTGCTAAGTACCTCAACTGTGCTTTTCAGGTTGCGTGGAAGCACCGTTACAGGGGGACACTAAACTTGCCCAAAACAACTATGAAATAGTTCTCCTTCCAAATTATCCCTTTATGACAGCTTTCTCCTTGTGTTTTAACAGCATGGGCCATTCATTGCAGACAAATTCCCTTTATTCACACACCACAACTGGCTCCATCAGTTGACATCATTTTGAATTAGCCGAATTCAAACTTGAAAAATTCCACCTGAACTTTTCATGTTTTGAACGAATCATCGCACATGTGCAGTTCATGACCCTGTCCCTTTAAGATACATGTACTATACTCAGGTGGCAGATCAGTACATGTAGTTTTGTCATGATTCTTCATTCGGGTCTTTTGGCAGTACTGATACTATTACACTGAATCTTTTTAAAAAATTGTGTAAAACCTCGGGGATATGCATGCACAATGGGTTTCCTAGAAAAAACGGATCAAGGATCACCGGATCAAGGACAGCTTTTGAAGACTAACAGCCACAGAGCGGGTTCACTTGTGCATATGCGACATTGGAGAAGAAATAACAAACAGTTCAATTCACGTGAAATTTCCAAATTATCCCAAATGTCGCTATGTGATTGCATATCTGACTTCCAATGCAATTTCAAAACACAAAGCCGTTTTTGGCCACTGCCGGAGTGAACAGCAAATTTTCAGTTGCTTTAACTTCATCTCTTCAAATTTTACCAACCTCATATCCTTAAAGGAAAAGCAGATGAAATGCACCTGAAGAATCACTTGCTTAGAAGAAGACCTTTTAGTCGTTTTTCCAATGGGATTTGACAAGAGACGTTATTTGACAACTGATTCGGAAAGTGATAAAATTGCATTTCCTCAGTGAGTTGTTGGTGTGAGTCCCCTAGAGAATACATGGAAGCAACAAGTCGAAAATCTCAAGAACACACTTTGGAGAATTGAATCAGTTCTTTAAGTCTTACATGATTTTTTTTAAAGAGAGTACCTGACAACTAACGAGGAAGAGTTTTTTTTTGTCACTGATAAGCACAGCAGGCAGAAAGTTTATTCACACACTTTTGATCACTTCTGATAAAATAAAGGACTTTGACATTTTTCGATTCTCTGTTTTTCGACAGCTTCAACAGGGGAACCGCACTAACTTTTAAGCATGGTTCACAAAGGCAGCAGTGCTTGAAAAATCTGCAATGATTTCGAAGACATACTAGTAGTTCGGAGTTAGTTGGTAGGTGAAAATTGGCACGTCTCTAAAGTGATATGGCTTTTTCAGTATTTAGTATATTTACATTTATTATATTTACTGTATTTGTGCCAATTTCGTGTATTTTCTCTTATTTTCGCTTGAGCATACAAGAGATCTTGACTGAATTATGTAGGGGAGTAATCAATCATGTCTATTAATTTATTCAATTTATTTGATTTATTTTGAACTGATCCTTGATCCTTGATCCCGTTTTTCCAGAAAACCCACACTATGTGTGTACTATATGCAGCTAACTGTGACATACTACTTATATCTAAATGTTATGAACATATCTTAAAACTGAAAACTATATTGCACATGTAGTCTATTTAAAGTTCATATGGGTAGGGGGTCGACGTGGGTAAATATGTTTGTTTGGCTAGTATTTTAGAGGCTTCATTTAGCATTCTCATTGACTTTATCTTAGTTTGTTTCTTTTTTTCGTTCTTCAATTTTACTGATCAACATAAGGGTCACACATGTCGTGAGCATGCGATTACAGAATTTATGTCCAATGTAAACATTGATCCTGCTAGTGTGACCCCTGCCTAATATGTCTTGTGCCTGTCTTTTTATTAGAGATGCATAACCAGATGAACTATAAATGTTTGCCCAAGTTCGTCCAGACGGATAATGCGTCTTTAGTATAGGAACATCCTTTTTTCCAGTGAATAACTGCTAGAGACTTCAATTTAACATTCCCATTAATTTCATCAGTTTGCTTCCTATTTTTGTTCTTTCATTTTAGTGAACAGTCTATTGCCCAGGCACGGGCATCTGTAATGCTCTACAACAATGACAGGAAAGAATGGGAACACTCAGGTGGCTCGTCGGGAATCTCCAGAGTCTATGTTTATCACCATCCAGTTAATAATACTTATAGAATGTTCGGCAGAAAAGTTCAAGATCATACGGTATGTTGCTGTGGCAGTTGAAAATGTTGTTGATGTTTACTTGCATGCCTGACAACTCTCCCAGTTACAGACAAAAAATTTCTNAAATTAGTCTATTGGATTTTCTCGTAATCGTTTTCGGCTGATGAGACTGGAAACTGGAATATTTAGCAAATTCCGCCGTTCCATCCCGAACGGAAAAAGAGGACTACCTCTGGAGGTAGTCTACAATTTCAGAACGGATTTTCCGAAAAATCACTGTTCCGTTTGACTTTCAACCGAAATTTTCGGAATTTTTTTTTGCCAAATGGTAAGCACCCAGTGACTCCCAGGTATGCGGAACAAACAAGAAATCACGTGGTTAGGCTCTGATTGCGCCCGAGTTGTAGATTGGGGCGAGTTTCGAATGACGTCATATGGCGGCAATGGCGGCAGTGTGAGGTGGGCATATCCGGTGGAATACACCACAAGAGAAAGACTTCCATGCCTTCTTTGTGGCCCAATTCTCGGAAGTGAACGTTCAAATCGGCGTTCTATTGAATTGTCGTGGACCTTTATTTCTTAATCACGGAACTTAGACGGCATCCCCGTCGAGTGCAGTCGACCAATTCCAGGGAAAGAACAGTTTGGGTGCGGCGATTTTGAAATACCCGAGCTTGAATTTCCCAATCTTCCAAGTTATTCATTGAACAGTTTTGGAATAACAGTCGTTTGGTCGAGCATTGGATAGTTCAATTGCCTTGTAACGATAATAATTGATTGTCATATTTCATTATGAGGTAAGAATCCATATTCTATTGGCTTATGATCTACTTTCGACTTGACATGTCAGACGATCGATCGCTTGTCGGTCGAACATTCCCAATAACAGCCAGTCAGCTCGTCAAAACAGTGCAAATATTTCTGCCATAAGTTTTTATATAATGGACTTGTGATTCCCACTAGTTTGTTTTTGGTTAATACATGACGATTTTTTTTTTCGTTTCGAACCATCAATTGATCAAGCCGGTCTTATTTTGTTGGCAATTGATGGCTTCGGCATTGGCATTTGGAACATGTAATCGCTTCGAAAGTCTTGCATCCAGTGCCCCTGGGGTAGGCTTTGTATAAAGTATAGAGAAAAGATTTGGCAGGGGGCTATGAGGAAGTAATCTGAAGAAATATATTTACGTGTTGTTGCTATACTTTTGTTAGGATTACATGATTACATTGACTTATCGGGGATCAAGTTTGCCCTCCATGTTCTTGTTTTCTGGACGAATGGAAACAATGTAAGCATGCACCCACTCGAGCCAGCTGAATTGCTAACGTACGGTTAATCACTGAATGGGAGCAGATGTAAACATTTTTTTATCGTCTTATTTGGGGCATATTACATTTTCAGTTCCCAAAACCAGTTGAGTTCAGTTTATCATAGTGTGGAAAACAACATCATTGTTTTCGTCGTGTACGTGGGGTTTTGTTTTCAGTTTGTAAGCTTACTGGGTTTCGCTTTTACAAATTCTCTTCCTTGTGATATCTTGTAATCTATATTTATAAACTTGTCACTTTTGTTTAGGTAGCCTTTTGGTGTTATCGTGTTCAAAAGAAAGCAAGCTGGAATGCCAAATTATTTCTAAACATAGCTGGGTTTTGTGGCAAAACAATCGAATGGCTGAAAATATTCGAGCTCTTGAATTTCATAGCTTTACGGTATCTCAGTTTTTCGCTGTAATATTCAGCTTTGGTGGAGAAGCGAGCTTCCTGTAGTGTAGATATTCGTCGGCAAATGTCCTACAAGTCTTAACATGCCTCCTTTGACGACGATACACTCAAAGCAGAAATATAATAACATTTTCTTAGCCCTGCTGGCGGCAATTACGTATCGATAAGGATAAACAACATACATTTGCCAGTGGCGTGATAGCTGTTATTTAGATTTGCCAAGATATTCTAGTATATAAAGCCGTATTTTATTCAGTTCAAATTAATTTGTTGGTAGATGACTTTTAAAATGATGCAAATCTCAAGATGTTATCTCCTGTAAGTGCGATGATCCATAGCGACGAGCTATGGATAATCACAAGACAAAATTTCTTTTTCTTGATTCTTTTCCGTCGAAACGTTCCCTGTCAACGTTTCAGTTTCCTTGTAAAACAAGATCTGACTGATATTTTTAGGATTTGGTAGTGTGTTAGGACGTGTTGTGTTTAGATATATGAATGGAATTTTCTGTAGTGCCATATTGAGGCTAAGAATGGACCGTCTATTGCTATGTAAATAAGCAGTGATGTATAAACATTGTATTGTCGTAAGATACCTCGTTCTGTCTGATTTGGACTCATGCCAAAATAAATTTGTTCTACCTTACTTTGAGTTAAAAAATGTGGAGAAGGAATCTCATAAATCTAACTTTAAAGTTTTTATACTTCTCCATCATATTTTCAGAAATATGACAACTTGCCACAAACATTTTATTTGCAATGCATGTGGTTGTTTAAAGTTAGAAACTGTTATGCTGTATTGGTGGGCTACTGAAGCTATTTCTTAACTTGAAGTTAGTAGGGGTAAATTAACCTTTGAAGCAACTTATGGAAGCTGATATGGCTAATGTTTTAAAAGTCAGCTTCACAAACTTGCTGCAGTGGTTAAATAATTTACATGTACCATTATCAACTTCAAGAGTTGTTTAAATAACTAAGTGATACACGTTGTATGCACATTTCCAGTCCATGTAGTAGAAGGATATTGTTTTTATTTCTCGTAAGAGTGTGCTGTCTTTGTGTATTGTAAAATGATAATTAATCTAGTTATGTTCGAGTGCAGTTCTACGACCCTTTAAATAATACGAAAAGGCAATCTATATCATTATTTTTATAAGAGTTGTCTGGCGACGACTCATTTGAAAATGAGTCTGATTTCAACAAAAGGAACCTTTATCATATGAATGGTTTCACAGTGAGCAGTGAGCTCCATTTTGAGATTTGGAGGGGGTATTTGGATCTTAGTTTTTGAGATACGAAGGGGCTCTTAGGATCTTAGTTTTTGAGATTTGGATGGGGTATTAGGTCATACACTGTAGGTCTTAGATTGTAGGTTTTAGTTTTTGAGACACCAGGTCTAAAACATCTGATACACACACTATGTGAATGCCATATTTAAAAACCTTAATCTACCACTCTATACAGCTACCTATTGAGTACTATTTGCATCTAATTCTAACCTTGAAATCTAAAGCTGGGTTTTTACATTTATGAAATACGCACAAGCATAAGCACAGCGGTAGTGAGGACACCTACAACAGAAGCAATAAGCACAAGCTGAACACAAATTTTTGTTCTTCTTGTATTTGTGCTCATGCTCATGTCAAGTGAGAATGTGCTGCTGCATATTAAGCATATATAAGCATAAGTGAAAGTCCGCCATCCTGTTTTCCTGTATCAAGGAGGTATAGAACAGAAAATAAGGCAATTATCCATTCAGTGAGTGCCTGCAGTATACATGTACGTGCTTATGCTTGTGTTGTGGTCATCCTCAGTGCCATAATTATGCTTATGCTTATGCTTATGCTTGTGGTTGTACTTACATGCATGTCCTAGTGAAAACCAGGTTTTACATTGGATAATTCTATAGTTATATAGTTATATCCATTCTTGTATTTTTATTAATTTAATTTTTGGTACTATTGAAATTGCAATGTGAGTATTACAGAGGGCCACAAGTTTGTTAGGTTTGGCTACATGTATAAAATTTGGTGTAAACCCTATTTAAATAAAGTATTTGCTTAGTACTTACTCACTTGCTATCTTCAAATTGAAAACTATATTGTACATGTAGCCTATAGTTTTAATTTCATATGGGGAGGGAATTCAGGATGGGTAACTTTTTTCCAGTGAACATGCTAGAGGCTTCAATTTAACATTGCCATTAATTTCATCAGTTTGCTTCCTATTTTTGTTCTTTCATTTTAGTGAACAGTCTATTGCCCAGGCACGGGCATCTGTAATGCTCTACAACAATGACAGGAAAGAATGGGAACACTCAGGTGGCTCGTCGGGAATCTCCAGAGTCCATGTTTATCACCATCCAGTTAATAATACTTATAGAATAGTTGGCAGAAAAGTTCAAGATCATACGGTATGTTGCTGTAGCAGTTGAAAATGGTGTTGATGTTTACTTGCATGCCTGACAACTCTCCCAGTTACAGACAAAAAATTTCTCCCAGTTGCCTAGACCAGTAATCAAATCTCCTGCTAGTGGATTTGATGGAATGCGTTTGAAATGGAAGGATTCACTCTTATCTGGGCTAAATCTGGGAAATGTCTCATTCAGTTTGGGTAAATTTGGGATGTTTGAGGCATTTTTAATGGTTGAATTGAGAGACTTACTTCTTGGATCTGTGGTAGTTTTAGCATGGCACAGTGTGCAAAGAAAGTCTCTTCCGAGAGCCTGGGGCTTGTGGATTTTCCTGCATTTACTCTCTCAGTTGTCATGCTCACTGTGTTTGCTGATTGATTGCATTGTAAAGCAAAATGTCAGACATCACTACATGTAGGTTGGAAATGCAATGCTCTGTCTAGGAAAAGGTACTTTGTCACTGGTTAACCCAATCTTAGAACAGAATCAAATTACTTGTCTGGCTCTTCCTCTCCTTCAGTGGTGTCACTGAATGTCTTACATGAAGATCAAGAGGAGGAGATAAGTGTGACTTCTCCTGTGTACCAGCTACATTGTCACTTGTCATGGCACATCTTTCTCAGACATGAGGTTTTCATTACCCACATAGCAATGCATTTTCCTCAAAATCTAATCAAATCAACAAAATTTAATGCCACAACCGAGACCATTAAATGCCCAACCTGAACCCACTGTATGTTCACAAAGAATTGCATGGTTATCTCCCAGATTTGGGCTTGCTACATGTAACACTGGCATCTCTGCACATGTGTGTGGAATGTATCTATAAATCCATGTTCTTCCTGGCTGAATCTCATACAATATCCTCAAGAGGTTATTACTAACAGTGCATATTAACCCTAGGTTGTCATGAATTGTGCACTGGCAAAAGGATTAAAATACAATGAAGCAACTCCGACATTTCATCAATGGAGAGATCAGAGACAGGTCTATGGTCTGAATTTTCCAAGCAAAGAAGATGCCCAAATTTTTGGACAGGCTGTAAATACTGCTTTGGAAAACCTTAGGAGTGGTGGCTCTGGTACGTCAAGGGGAAGTTGACGCGATAGTATTTGGTAAGTTGTTACGTAATTAATTGCGTTCGAGAGAACGCAGTTCTAATCGGGTAATGGAGGAAAACCAAGTTTTCCTTTATGTATCTTTTTATAGACACCTGTTACTTTCGTAACTTGTTTTCTTCTTTGTTTTGTTTACATCACTATTACTCATTAACGATTTTGTACATTTTTTAAGTTTTTGCTATTCATGCTGTGATTGCTGTGATCAATGCAAGTTTCGTAATATAACCTTTGGAATCATGTAATTAGAGACACCACGTTTTTATCAGTTGAGTTACGCCATCTACGTTCTCGCCAGTTTATGCTATCGCTATCGTTCTAAGCTATAGTTTCTTCAATTGCTACCCTCGCAGGAGCAAGATCAAAGTGAGTCTGCTACATATTTTTAGTCGTTATCGTGTCGTAATAGTTTAAGATCTATGTTCCATCAGTATCCTTGATTTATGTTTTATATCTTAGCTAGTATTAGTATCACCCAACTAGTGGACTAATGCAAATCCTGCATTTTAATTGGTTACGCTACTAGAGGACTANAGAATTGCATGGTTATCTCCCAGATTTGGGCTTGCTACATGTAACACTGGCATCTCTGCACATGTGTGTGGAATGTATCTATAAATCCATGTTCTTCCTGGCTGAATCTCATACAATATCCTCAAGAGGTTATTACTAACAGTGCATATTAACCCTAGGTTGTCATAAATTGTGCACTGGCAAAAGGATTAAAATACAATGAAGCAACTCCGACATTTCATCAATGGAGAGATCAGAGACAGGTCTATGGTCTGAATTTTCCAAGCAAAGAAGATGCCCAAATTTTTGGACAGGCTGTAAATACTGCTTTGGAAAACCTTAGGAGTGGTGGCTCTGGTATGAAAGTGGAAAGTTAACATGAGAGTATTAAGCAAAATGTTACATAATTAATTTTAATTAGTTTCTATCACTAATTACAATATCAGACAATTGTGACTTGACACTTGATTCGTAATTCTCACAAGAATCGGATATTGAGTTAAAAGTACTCAAAAAATTGTCAAGAATTATCTTGAAACAATTGGATACATTTTCTTGCTAGTGTACACTGAGTAATGTTTTTACAAGGTGCAAAATATAAAGTTAGCAGACTTCAATTAATAAGAACTGTACAAAACCATGACTAAGAACAAGTATGTGACAAGTTTGCAGCTGACTGAAATTGACTTTTTGGTAGCTTTCTTCTACAGTACCGCTCAGAACTAAACAGACATCGCATGTGCGTTCTTAACGCACCCCTAGCATGTTAAAATGGCCTGTGTGTTTTTGCCAACATATTAGCCTTTGTTATTCATAACCAATGTTCCTTTTGTGATGCATTGTTATGGCAAACAAAGCAAGAATACAGCTCAAACAAATGTGTGATTTATGTTTAGTAATTCCATGCTAGGCAAAATTCAAATCAAAACACAGGGAATTAACAAGAGCAGTTGCAAAATACAGCTTTGTACCTCTTTCACTGAAATAAGATGCTCCGATGTTGACAAGATGACAAAAAATTTTGAATGCTTTCGCATCAAACCATCGCTAGTTCCCCTGAAAATTTGAACTCATTTACCTGGCATATAAGCTCTGTTCTCAAATCAAGCGTGGCATTCATACTCACCAAAATTTTCTTTGTATCAGATGGACATTAATAGCAGCACACACATCGACAAAATAAACAACAGATTGAAAGCTAGACAATTTCATTTAACCCGGCACTCAAAAACTGGAGAAAGTTGTAAATTACATGAGGATGGAAACACAGGCCTCTTCCAGTACAAGTAGATTTTCCTCTTGGGGAAGCATATTAAACTTTCTCTCCTCACTTACCCACGGGCAAGAGCCCAGGTAAGCCGTCCTCCAACTAAATTTTTGATAAAGATTGAAACAAGTAAATTCTGGGCACACGGGTTATAATATCAAGTGTTAAGGTGAAGTTTGATGAAAATTAAACTTTTAAAACATTACTTTGTTGATTGCATTATGCGCGACTCACAGTTCAGAAGTGGTTACCTAGCATGTAATCAAAATCTGCCCCAATTAAATTTCTTTCCAGGATTATTTAAAGTAGCCATGAATGAAAATTGTGATGTCCATTGCTGTTTCCAGTGTTTACACAGTGTCTCTCACAGATAAGCAGTCCCCTGGCGATGATTTTACAGGAGATGTTTGATGCCTTGATATTTCCTTTTTTCACCGTTATTGCATAGCATAAGGAGTCAAACAAAACAATTTTGTTCCATTAGTTGTTTTCGAGCTTATCTGGGACTTGGAGACACACATGCTTTGAGAAGAGATATTGCAAACCAAGCATTGAATTTTACTCTCCACAAGATGAGGGACAAAAGCGACAAATTGCATAAATGAGACTGGAATTGGAATATTGTTGTGTTGCTTTCAATGGTATGCCAAGTTTCTATTTTGGATTTTTATTTGTGGTTGAATGAATCAAAATAAAATGATATGTAGGTAACTGCTGCAATATTCAGCCGGTATGAAAGAAATACAACTGTAGAACTTGTCTGCTCCTTGAAAACACATGACATTACCAAATGTTGTCTTTAGAAAAGGTCATTAACTTCCTTTCACAAAGTAACAAAAGAAACGAACAATAACCAAGTTCATACATACTAATGCGTTTACTTAAACGCGTTATAACGTGAAGTCAAAACGCAGTCTAACGCAGCAAAACGCGCACGCGTGTTAACCCCTTTGCTTTGTTAACGTGTAATCAACAGGAACTTTGGTTCGCTTAGTTCTGAGCGGTACTTTATACATGGCAAGATAAAAAATATATCCAGATTACATTTGTTGACTTCGTTCTTTACTGGTAGACTGCATTCCATGCCAGTAACTTTAATGTGAAAAACTGATACTGAACTTTTTGCCTTGAAGTGAAACATTGTAGAATTTGCTAGTAAGGCAATTAAGTTTCTATGTACAATAAAAGTGCATATCAATTTCTTTTTAGCTGGAATCCCACAGTCTCCCTCAATAACTCAGCAGCAGTTTATGCCATCGTCACACACAAGTAATGGCAGAGGTAATGAGCAGGATGAAATGCTTGCACAGATTCGGGATCAGACACATTATGATGCTCATGATCAGTACTCACGTGGCAGGATGGCTCCTTCAGCTGTCCCAGACAACAGGTCATACCACCCTCAGTATGATGTCCCTCGGGAGACAGAAAGCCCCAATGTAAGTATTGAGTCTTGGTTAACAAACTGATGACAGTTTGTCATGATCTGCACACCCTTCAACAATAGAAGTGATGATGTAAATTGTTCAAAACTCGCCTCTGGCTTCAGTGGGAAGGTTTTGACACTTACATTTTAAGTATCATTTGTAGGATACATGTACATGTATTTGCTAGAGTTTAGGCCTTGGAATTGAGTGACTGATTTGTTTTCATTGGAAAATCCCCAACACTCCTCAGGTTTCTAAAGTTGCAGTGGGTTGCTAGTTACATGTTCATGTACCTGTATGTCATTTTCATGTTCATGATCTGATCACACAGGTGGTCACGCAGGGTCTGCATAATTTTAGTTTGTTGTTTAGTTTATTAATTTGTTCCTATATAATGTACGGGAGCAGGTCATCTTGAGCTGCTAGTTACTAGACTCTTCATGTTGTTGAAACAGATTTACAGTAAGTGCTTAATGGAACTGACTGTGCTAATGATTAAAAAATATTTTACATGTATTTTTTGTTAGTCAAGCACCGCCTCTTTATCAACATCACCTGGGCCACAGCCAGTCATACAGAGTAAGTTGATTCATATACACGATGCATGTAATAGTGACATGTAATTTTCAATACAGCTTCAAATCAAAGTAGAATATGTTACCTAGAAAAATAATTTGTTGTGAAAAAGCCAAAAGACTCCTGAAAACTACCGGGTTGGTTGGAATCCTATGTCTTTACACTGCTTCAGTAACTTTGTAATGAAAAGGAACTCGGACTTGCAGCTGACTTGGATTTGACTCAGTCTACTGATCAATATACTTTCATTTCATCTTTGACAGGTGCACCACATGTTCCTTCTGCGCCAGCGGCGCCACCTGCTCCACCGGCTCCCCCGGCCCCTCCTGCCCCACCTGCTCCTCCTGCAGCACCCCCTGTCCCAGGAGGCGGAGGACCCCCTGCACCTCCTCCACCTCCTCCAGCACCAGGAGGGGGTGGTGGGACGTTAGCTGACCAGATAGCTGCAGCAAAATTAAAGAAGGCAGCTAAGGTAAGGGTGAGCTGAAATTTTTAAGTAACAGAATGAGTTATTATAAATGATGTCACTGATGTTCTGGAAAACAATTCAAACTGAATTCAAACTAAAATGTTCTTGTAGTGCCCATAAAGATGGATTTCTTGCCTGTAATCAGCAAAATTTTGAAGTGCAGGTCAGAGTAATTTTTAAATAATCAAGCTTAAGGTGGCTTTCTAGAGTTTTTCGGGGACTCAGTAGTGCGCACTACGATTGCCTGCCAGACGTCAGTATTAATCGTGCATGCAAAAATGATGGAAGTGACCCTAAGAGGAAAAGAAAACCACTTCAGCTCTTGAAAGTTGTTAAATCACTTTCAATTGGTATACGAAGCAATAGTTTCAAACTCTGTTCAAACAAGTGTTAGAGCCTAGGGCCAAAAAAATATGACAAAAAAAGCTTAATAAACAACCGGTAAAAGAGTGCCAATTTACTCTTGCTTTCTTGCACGCGATACATGGTGTCAAATGAGCATGTGCTTAAAGAAAGGGCATGTGCAATTCAACTCTCGTCCAAGGTTGTAAAAGCTTGTCTTTGATCGAGGATTGCTCGAAAATCTACCGTACAACCCATGATAAAATTTTCACAGTTGATTTGTAGGGGTGAATCACGTTTGAAGCCAAAATTTTAAAAAAATCTGTAAGAATTTATCTCACGTTTTCTTAGTTTCCAAAAAATCTGTCTAACAGGTTTTTATTTTACTTTGGGTGAATATTAAATCAGAGCCAATTTCTTATTCCTGAAAATTTGAGGTGGGTTCATACAGGTAGATTTTGAGAAAAACGTGATTTAACCTACTAGTACCCAGTCTCTCCTTTGGTACTCAGTCGTTTATTTTGGCCATTTGTTGACGTTTAATTGTTCAAGTTTCACATAGAATGGCAAAGTACTTAAGCAAGCAGTAAATAGAGAAAGGCAAAACATCTTGGAACATTTTTGAAAAGAGTTCAAGTTGTTTTGTTATATTCCATCAAAATGTAGTAAGCCACCTTAAACCTGTTGATTGGCCTTTTATCTTTGTTTGTTAGCTTCAATTGACACTGTAATGGACTAAAGTATCTTTTTTTATATATTTTGCTTCTTTTTAAAAAGAACATGTCTTGAACAATACTGTACAGCATATTGTATGCAACTGGTTCCAATACTATGAAATGTGTTTTTACTACTGCAGAAACAATTCTGTGCCATGTAATCCTTTATTCAGGCAGTCTTTTACTCATAAAGTGGATAGCCTCAACAGAATCTTGTTTTACATTGTTGATTAATGTAAACAGTGGAAATGAGATTGCCAGTGCTTATTGCTTCAGATGTCTTTCTCAGGAGTAAGTGACCAGAGAGGACAGCTGAAATTAACACTATCACTCAGGCCCACTCATATTATCTGTGTACAGTATAGTCACTTCTACTCACATCTGCAGCAGAATTTGTCTCTGCAGTGTTGTACTCCATTCCGCCATGAAAAAAAAGCCTGTAATATAATTGTTATGTACTTGTAAAATCATTTGAAATTTATACTAAAGCCTGGTGAATGTTTTGTTCTGACTTTGATTACCTGACTCTTCAGGCAGAGAGTGAAGGTCCAAGAAATGAAAGAGCTAATTCAACGAGTCGTGGTGGCAAGGCTATGGGTGGTGGAATGGACATGATGGCAGAAATGCAAAGAAAGCTCGCAGCAAGGTGGGCTGTTGCTTCAATACAATAAAGACTTCTAACTCAGTTTGATTACTTACTTACTCACTCACTCATCCTCATCGGGCCCATGAGGACTCTTGAGGCCGGTTGATTACTTCCTTACTCATATTAATTACATGTAGTCTTCTTTGTTCCTGGTGGAACAACTAGTGTTGTGCAGTGCCTTTTGCCTTGTGCCTAGTAAGCTGTCTCTTCTCCTACTCTGCCATTCTATTCTTGTATACCTCCAGGTGGGCTGGGGTCTCCCTATCATGCTTCCCCTGTGGGTTAATTACTCTGGGGCTCTCTGGCCAATCCAACCTAAGCTCTTTGTCTTACTGGTGCCTCTCTAAAGCTCCTTATTGCATTTTTAGTCTGGGCCACCAAATCCACAGGATGTTCTTCAGGCTGTTATTAGGTTCACACCATGTTTGTTTTCATACATTCACTGTTTTTAACTTTGCATGTACAGGAGTTAATGCAAAATAAATGGTCTTGACTTCCACTGCTGAATTTAACCTGTTTTTTTTCCTTGTAGAAAAGCAAAAGAGGAAGGCAGAGAAGTGGAGGTACGACATTTTGTGTTTTTAAAGTGCCTCTAACAGCTTCATGTACCAGCTGAGGTGCCACTGGTTCTGACACAAGTAAACTGTAATGTTCAGGCTTAAGTCCAAAAAAATCCTCTATATTCCCTCTTTCCTTGTCCCATTGTTGGTCCCATACAGTGTTGTGCAAAGAAGGGTAGAACTTTTAAGGGTTTGTGTGTTGTATATTAACTAAGTTAGACTGTGAAATACATAATTATATGATGACTGTTTTGCTTGCATGTAAGTTGTATTTTTATGAGTCATCTAAGGTTGCCTTTGATTGCGGTTTTCACTGTTAATGCTGGGTGTTTGTTCACATTTTAATCCCAAGCCAGTAAAGGAAGAAGCTGAAACAAGAACAGAAAGATTGCCATCTGGTGAGTAAGATCCTCCTTTTTGTACTTTAGGTATTGTGGTTGCCAAATAAAAATGTAAAGTAACCTGTCTTGCTTTAGAGCACCATACAGTGAATCCAACTAGTGTTGTGGACAACCTGGACTACTTATAATTAAACCAGAGTTGAAGATGTTAATGATTAGCTGATCGTCTCTGCACAGGTCCTCGCTCAAATGCTAGCAATCCTCCAGCAGCCCCAGCTCTTGGAAACAACAATGTCAAGACAAACTTCTTGTCAACAGCTAAACCAACCAGTAATGGAGGAATCAGGTAAGGAGGACTTGCTGCCACTGCATTGGCATTTGTGTGAATCATAATCATATCATTGGTTTATTTTAGCTCCAGTTGACTACTCAACAACCAAAATTAAGTGCACTTTGTTTTGCAGGAAAAATAGCAAGAGTGAATCATCATTAAGCAACGACCAGCTAGAAGAATTAAAAACGGTAAGGCCGATCTTAGGATGTAGTACATATGTAAGTTGCATTCGGTGGAAGGGAACTGAAAGCTTTATCTTTTTTTAAGATGCCTCATTTTTGGCACAGGCCTTGAAAACTCCTTGAAAATTTTTTTAGATCAGGAGCACCCGGATTTACAGAGGCCAATCAAGGCTGTCATCTAGCAGAGCCCAGGTGCCTCAGGCGGCCAAGTTTTGTCTTTGGGCGACTTGTTTAACTTCATTCTTATGAAAACTTGTTAGAGTGGGCACCCAATATTTCCTACATGAGAACCCTTTGGCACCTTGCAATTTTGCTTAGAGTGCAGCCTTGCCAATGTGGCTCAGGTTTGAATCCTGTATTTAGCATCGTAAGTGTGTTCAGTTTAATTGTTGGCCCTTGCCTTGCTACAAGGATTTCTCTCTGGGTTCTCCGGTTTTTCTCCTTTCACAAAAAAAAAAAAAACAGAATTATACTCAAATTTCCAATTTGTATATGTAATAGGACTACATGCTGTCCAATTTGGAAATAATTGGATGAAAAAAATTCTGAGGACAGCCAAAATTGGACTCTGCCTACGGCATCGTCCAATTTGGCAGTCCGAGGAATTTTTTGAATCCAATTATTTCCAAATTGGACAAGCATTTGGTCCTATTACCTATTAATTATATAGGATCCAAAAACAGATGAACAAGGCAAATATTTTATCACCTAAAGTACAGTATTTCTCACTTCGCTTTGCTCAGCACATCACAGGTCAAACACTTTAACACAGGTTTTTTGCTTCTTTGAGTGTTCTTGTTCTGATTATTCTCGCTCATCTCGAGTAAATCAGTAGCATCTATCTCTGGAAACCTAGCTGAAGACTTCATTTGAAAGTTTAGACGTCAAAAAGGTGGAGAGAAAAGTCGGGAAATTCTGCCATTATCAAAACATAAGAAAACTTAGCGAGCTACAATCGCTCGATGATGTTTGATGGCAGTGATAATAGCTACAACCTGATTGGCCAATACTCAGTTCTTTTATTTATCTTGACATTTCATTGGTTGATGGAAAGTATCCACATTTTTCTCAAATTGGACAGTTTGTTTAAAGCTAAACTAAACGCTCGAGCAAAAACTATCCAATTTACTTTAAATTTGGACAGTTTGCAAAAATTAATAAAAAATAGGTCTGTTGGGAATAATGGATTTCGACAGAGCTATATAATTAGATATGAAATAGTGGATGAAGAGCCTGGAAAGTGCCACTGTCAATTCCAATTGATTTTTTACAAATTGTAACTTAATTATTTTATTTATGAGATCATTTTCGAGGAAGATAAACTTCACAAATTAATGAAAATGTAACTATGCATTGTTTGCGAAATAATTGTAGTACATTGCTTGGTTCATTATTTACTTTAGGGAGAAGTATTAAATGATCCCCTTGGTCATCTTTCTGAAAAAAATCAAAATGTTGCAATCAATGACTGCCTGCCTACCACCCTGTATGCCTTTTGTGCTACACATGCATTAGAATGTCAAGTTTGTGACTGCCTGTATAACTTAGTGATGGTTTGAGTGATGGGCTAACTGACTATTCAATTGTTTGATTGAGATTTTGCAGTGTATACAGGGCTGGAAATAACAGTCGGTCATCGGACATCATGTCTGAACATTTTACCAACACCAAGTTATTGTCCATCCATAAAATTTGGTTAGATACATTGCTAAAAGGCTCGAAATTGCGACCGGTACAGTTGCCACTATGGCTAAAATTTTCATCTTTGGCAGCCAAAAATTCTGGTCAACAGCCGAAAATACGTCTGCATTCAAAGGCTACCATAAAGGCGACTACGTTTCTCTGTGTTGACGATCAATAACGGTTATTTTCTCAGACATTATGTCCTTCCAGANGCTGAATTCGTGGTAAATTCAAACTAAAAATAGATCGGTCTGTGAAAACACCGGGACAGGAATAATTGGGGTAGTTGTACACTCCTAGTGATGGGCTTCTGCTTTAAAGGGACACAGTCAGCTGGTGCATATGCGCATTAGATACCATTTCATATCTAATTTGCATATCGCAGGGACGCAATCCATACTGTTTTTAACCAAATATGATGAAAATAATATCATAGGATTGAACGAAAGCACACTCAAAAACAGGTTTTTCAGTGAACGATTGAAAATCAAGAAAAACACTGCAAAGATTGAAGTGGATTTCTAGATGTACTTTGATTTCAGGTTGAGGTGAACTTTTATCAAAGTGAGAAAACTATTGTCCAAGTCAGTGTGGTCCTAAAGCTGACTGTGTCCCTTTAATGGTAAAATTCAATAGGAAACCAGGTTTGCTTGAAGAACATACAATCAGGAGATAACCAGGAGAGATCTGTGCAGTCGTCTTGTAGATTAAGTCATATAATCATCATAAATGATAAATAAATCAAATTTAAATACAGTGTTGAACGATATGTATTAAAAATCTTTACAGTATGACAATGAATTTTATTATGCTTATTAATTATGCTAATCAATTATGCAAATTAGTGTCCGGTCAAATTGATAAGATGTCCGACTAAAATGAAGATTTGAAAGGACACATGTCCTGTTAAAGGAGAAAAATTATTTCCAGCACTGGTATATATTCAGTGCTTAAAGATCAAGCTTTTAGGTGTTTGGAGACATGGTCAAACATGGTCTTTCGTGTTGGATATACCTAAATCAAAACAAAAACTGAGGAACCTCCTTCACGGTCATGATTTCTTTTGTCTAAACTTGATGAATTATTAATGAGTCTGAGAATTATAGATTTGTGCATCTACTTTTGGACTGGACAAGATTGGAATACTTTGCAAGTCTGTTTTCTTTCTCTAACAAGTGGCCTGTTTTCTTTTCCAGGAATTGCTTGCTGAATTTAGACAAGAATTGGATGCTGCAAAAAGAGAAATAATTGAAGGTACGTCTGCATAGAAAAAAACTGACAAGAGATTTGTACCTAAATCCTTTTCAAGACAACAGACATGTCTCCATGCAATTTTACATTAAATGTCTTAGAAGGCCCTAGTCAGCCACACCTTTGTTTTAGTTTACATACGAGAGTTTGGCTATTATATTTTATTCGGAGCATGTCGAAATGAAAGATATCACTGTGAAACTACTCAAGATAATTAAAAACTTTCGGGAACACGACTTATAGTAGACTAGAGCAATAAGATTTCACCTCACCATGCAAATCAATAATTTCAATGACATTGAAAATGGTGGAGACTGACTAGGGTCCATTAAAGAGAACTGAAAATTGAGAAAGCTAATTTTGTTTGGTGTTCCATACCATATCAAAATGATTTTTGCAATTCTTACGGAGCACTTTTATCACTTTTCTTGCAGCTGTGAGACAAGAAATCTCACGACTTCGGTGAATGATTCTGGAGACAGTCCTCTTAAGATGTAATTAAATCAAGGGTGAACCTGTGATTAATGGAATGAAATAAGATTTTTATTCCTCATTGTGACATCGTAAAAAATGTCAAGGACAAAACTGTGAGCAAACTCCAGACAGTTGACTTAATATCAAGTAGAAAATTTATGCTTCATCATAGAAATAATTATCTGACATAATTTCCTTGGGAAGTGCCTGTAATGAAGGACAATAAAAGCAATGGTGCCTCATTAAACACTTGGTAAATAATTAACATGTATGTTAATGCGACAAGGTGATTAACACTTAGATTATAAATGTAGACCATCGGGAGTGAAAGCAAAATATCTTTGTACAGGTTAATGCGAGCTGGGATTTCTTTTGATGTACTTTGTGTTATTATTATTATTTTTTTAATATTATTTTCAAGTGTGAGGCATTGGACTTTTTTATGCATTTAGATCACAAGTAATGTGAAAAGAGGATGAATAATAATTCCACTAACACTTGAAATTCATGAGCAGAGAAGTTCACTTGGACATGCATCTTCAGGCCTTCCAATGTTCATTTTACATGATCTTATTGTTTCATGGACCCCAGTATTTTCAACAGATTTGTTTGCTGTCATGTGAACAGATCCTACAGATACAACTGATCTTGTAATAGGAAGTTTTTAAATTTAAATTAAAGGCTAGTCTGTTGTACCTGAAGAACTCAGTCACGCAAGATCTACTTATAAAAAAAAAATTTCTTAGCTTTATATTCACATGAAAGCATAGACGTGTTTAAAAGCTGTTTAGTTAAAACATGGTTAAAATGTTTTGAGCGTGAGATTACTAGAACAGGAGGAGATAAAATAGACTGGAACTACTTGAACTGGGCTGCTTCAAATAAAATTAACCACAGTGTTGTCGGGTAAATGGTTCAATGCTTACAAATGTACTCACAAATTGATTTCTTGAAGTGGTTTAATTTCCTAGCTATATCAGTATTCATGTGTGCGGTGCACACCATGACAAATGCAGCTGGAGTAAAGATAAACGAACGTCACACAACAACAACCTCTGGTGGTAACAGTGTCATTTATTGAGAGAATGAAGGATGGCAAAATTTTTTACACATGGACCAATAACCAGGGTTGAAGCATGCAGACTATAAATCAATGTTATTTGTTAATTAAGTGAGCAACATAAGCAAATCATAATAAAGTATGTTACAGACTTCTCATACACCTCATTACAAAATGGCGACCAATTTATTGTTCTTTTGTTTGCATTCTAATTAGCCCTTTTGCCTCGTTTTCACTTCAAAGTTTTTTTGTATTTTGTACGTGTTGATGAGGCAAAGAGGGCTAATTAACATGAAAACAAAAGAATAATAAATTGGCTGCCATTTTGGAATAAGGTGTATTCAAGAAACTTCGTACCTTTTTTAGGTTTTGAGTGGTGGATTTCAATCCTAAACTTCAAGCAGTTAAAGAAGTTAATGTTGTAATAATCTCAATTAGGTCTGGTTATTTCCTGCCAAAGATGGATCTGTAAAGTAGTCAGTGAATTTGAGTAAAACAGACCTGTAATTTCCTTCACTTGGTTTCAAATTGTATTTTTTTTTTTTTACAAAGCATATTGTTTGGATGTTTTCTCAGCATAGGTCTGTTTATGAAAAAGACTGCCATCTCTGTTATTTCTGTTTTTTTGTTGTTGTTGTTGTCTTTCAAGTTGCCCAGTTCAAGTAACTAGTCACAGCTTAAAAACCTAAGGGCCAAACTTTCCAGAAGCTGTAAGACTTGCGTTGGATTATAAGTTACATGTAACTGAAGGTTTATAACATAACAAAACAATATTATGAAAGTAACAGTTGAGTGACAAATAAAACTTTGTACAATAACTGATAAGACTGTACTTGAAATAGGACTGGGTGGGGGTGGCTGTTGTTAAATGGGCAAGTTAGATGAATATAGTCATTGACAAAAGTTTTCTCAGCAACTGTTGCCTCTTGTAAATGTTCAAGATTTACTGGGTTTGTAATATTCATTATTACTTACCAAAAAAACTCATACAAATGTGGCAGCATTGGTAAGAGGGAGGTTTACAGAGTGATACATTGCCTTGAGATAGCAAAATGTAGTAACAATATGACACTTGGGCTGTGAGAGTAAGAGAGTTTCTTATTTGCATGGAATGCCACTATTGGACTATGTTAGTGTTGGTTAAGGCAGATGGAGATTTTGAACCCATAAATAGTTTCTATTTTTACTTACTTAGTATTTGTCAGAAAGGCTTGCACTTTTTGTCTTATACACTGTATGTAGTAACATCTAATGGTTAAAAAGAATGTAAGTGGTTTAGGAGAGGACAGATTCAGGTGCAGTTTCAGCTCCTCAATGTTCTGTTTTCACACCAGAAGCCACTCCCAACCTAGCTCTCCACTGTGAGTTATTCGTCATAATGAGGGACTATAAATTTGCCTAAGCTTCAGCCTCTGTCTGACATTTTCTTAAGTGTGACAATCATTAGTGTGTTGTTGTCCTGTTCAGTTTGTTTCGATGTGATTGTTATGTAGGATCAATAATTATAGAGTTCTTTATTGTTTCCAGTCCATGAGAATGTTATTTTTGATTTATTTTCCTATGTAGTTAACCAAATGTATGAGCTGTTGTAGTTTACATGTTGTAATTGAGTGCT